AGGGAATGGAGATTTTGGATTATCCATCCACAAGGAGGGGGGGCAGGAATGAAGATTTTGCAGTATCCTTCCCCTGCCACGCCCACCAAGCCACACTCACCGAACCGGTAGTTAAAAAAAATTGAATTTCACCACTGCTCTCAGAGCAAAGAATAGTCAAAGTAGATGCCAATAGGTTGCTTAGTGACTGTTTGAAGTTACAGCAAACCCACCAAAAGCAGAAAAGCAGTTCTGAAATTCCATTGGCTGCCCGCCTGCAGACACACATACACACACACACACACACACACACACACACACACACACACACACACACACACACACACACCATGGTCATATGACTGTGCTTCAGCGCTTGGCAACCAGCTCAACTTTATGGCCAGTTCATCATTCCTCAGTCATGTGACCATGATTCACAATTTATTTTTTTTGGCTGGTTTCTGGCATTTTTATTTGATTTCTGGCAAAAAAAAAAAAACCATAAAAATACACTGATTCACTAAACGACCGTAGCATTCACTTAACAACTCCAGAAAAAGTTGTACAATTGCATCCAGTGGATGTGGGTGCCTCAATTTACAACATCATGATTGACAACAGAAATTCTGGTGTCAACTATGATCATATATAGTTGACTACCTAATTTTCTATTCAAGAACCAGCCATGAAGACTATACTGTACGTATGAAGGAAATCAACACTTTTCCTGAGGATCTAATATAGGTCAGACTCTATTTTCTCTGCATAATAAAACAATCCGTATTCTGGCATGACAGAGGACTAGTTCAGCCAATTTGCCAACACCTGATTTTCTGAGCATCAGCTCAGCTGTTGCTGATGCTATCTCAAAAGTTGAATGAGAAAGAAAAGGAAAAAACCAAGTCAAATTTGCTAGTCCACTGAATCTAAATCCCACTTTGACTTCCAATAAGTCAAGTCAATTAGGAAACGAGCCACCACCTGAAGTAGTGCTTAATGACTGCACATGATTCCTTAACAACCACACTGTCATTGTACACTGAAGATCGCATTTAATTCCGTTGTACAAGGTGCAATGACAATAAAGTAAAATAAACTAAACAATGGCTGTACCGAAGAAGCCCAGCGTGTACCAGGATAATGTTTCATGACTAGTCTCCAGGGAACTACAGGAAGCTTCCCAAACTTTACCATAGAAACCAGTTTGGGGGGGGGGAGGGAGAAATGTTTGAAAAAACAATGCTATATAATTAATAGGGCCGTACATTGCTTTGGTTTCAAAAAAAAAAAAAGCGGCTCTTTTCTTGGGCACTATCCTGCAGAACAAAACTTTTAAGAAGTTGCTGGCAGGTGCTATATGCCATGTGCCTTTGGACACAGCTTTCCTCCTCTGAATCTGCAATGCTACACAACCCTATTGAAATTATTGAAATTATTGTAGGGACGTGGGTGGCTTAGTGGCTAAGACGCTGAGCTTGTCAATCAGGAAGGTCAGCAGTTCGGCGGTTCGTATCCCAGCACTGCATAACGGAGTGAGCTCCCATTACTTGTCCCAGCTTCTGCCAACCTAGCAGTTCAAAAGCATTTAAAAATGCAAGTAGAAAGATAGGGGCCATCTTTGGTGGGAAGGTAACCGGGTTCCATGCACCTTCAGCATTTAGTCATACTGGCCACATGACCACGGAGACGTCTTCGGACAACGCTGGCTCTTTGGCTTTGAAACAGAGATGAGCACCACCCCCTAGAGTCGGGAACAACTAGTACATACGTGTGAAGGGAACCTTTACTTTTACCTACCTTTAGGTCTCTCTAATAATCATCCAGTATAGAGTGTTTATCAATTTATGTGTTTGTTAGTAAGGTTTCGTTGGAATGCAATTTGGGGCATCACCATCCTTGACTTTTAGAAGGCTGGCCTTCCTTAATCTGACAACTGGCAGGTGGGTATTAAGGCAAGAAACCCCGTCATTCCCAATCACCCCGGTCCAGCTTGGGAAAATCATAGTATGGAAAAGAGAGTGAATCCCGCAGCCAGAGGACTTTACCTGGATAATATGAGCAGCCAGTTCAGGTGTGCCATGCTTCAGGTCATGTCCATTGATAGCCAACACCTTGTCGTTGCTACAGAGTCGGCCATCCTGAGCAGCCAACCCCCCTTCCAGCAGGTCCAGAATAAATACTCCTGGCTCATCTGTTCTGCGCACCAGCTTAATGCCAAGCTGCTCGCTGGAGTCTCGCTTGTGTAAGGTCAGATGGAAGCTATCCTCTCGCTGGGGAGGGCTATCGCTATGATTGTGTGTTCGGCTTACAAATCGTCTCTCTCGGAGGACAGTGAGATGCAGCGATGTACAGGGCTGGGAAAGGATGGCCCTGGCATGGTTGTGAGACACGTTACTGATGTCGAAGTTATTCACCTGAAAAGAAAGAAGCAGAAAAGATATGTCAGACCTGTGACAATTTGTCCCTATTCCATGTTCCAGACTGGGCATCTGTTTCCAGGAGCTGCTATTTATTTCTATACCCTTTTTGGCTCCCATTTCTCTGTCTGTTCCTGCAAAAATCAGCATGACTATATTTAGGTCAAGGATTTTGCATTTCTGGAAGTTTTCCCCACCATCTTTCCTGCATGAAAGATGCTGTTGTGGGTGCATAAGGTTAAGCATTCAGGGAATGAGTGAGCTATTAATATACAGAATTCGCACTTTGTAAGATCAGAGCCAAATGTACTGAACATTTTTTCACAAATATTCTTGGCAATTTCAAGAATAACCTTTGGGGAACATTTCTTTTTTTTTTTTTTTCCTTTTGCACCTAGGTAGATCTTTTTGAAAACATCTATATATTTACCTATATTAGTCTGCTTTCACCGTTACTGATAGCCAGGAATGCTAATGGTATACTGGTACACTCTGTATAATGAATTTATTCTATCCTTATCAGCCTTCCTCAACTTGGTGCCTTCCAGAGGTAGTGCACTACATTTCCCCAGTTACATCGGATTGGAGGGGACCTTGTGCCACCTGATGAGGAAGGAAAATAAAGAAGAACCCTGAAGGAAAAAGCCTGAAACAGCAGAAAGAAAGAAGCTGTAGTATCACTTAATAGGATGAAAAAGACCAATCCAAAATGTAAAACTGCTAAATGTGTTGACACCTTATGATTAGAATAATCACTGAGACTCAAACAACTGTTTCCTTTTCGCATTCTGTGTGAAAGAGCTATTTGCCACATCCTTGAGTATTAGTAAAGGTGTAAATATATATATTCTACTTCTTTCTCTTTTAATCTCTTTTCCTCTCTTTTAACTCACAATATGCTTCAGTATTCCCAAGGCTTGTTAATTAAACTTTGTGGCAAAGTCTCCATTTCTCACATTTCCTGCCAGTAGAGAGCATATATTCTCAGAGAACTGAAATTTCGGGGAAATTCTGCAGAATTCTTCTCAATTGCATATTGATGAGCTTTTATTTAAACTGCAAAGGGAAATGATGGAAGAGAGTTTACCAAAGCAAAATAATGACAGGACATTGATATTGGTAATATTTGCCTAATGTACCATGGAGAAAGGGAATTTAAGAGACACAATAAACATAGAAAGAAGCTCTATTCAGGGAAATCCAAGTGATTTTAAGAAAGCAACTTTGGAATTCTTTCTTGCCTTGTTTTGTCACTGCAGCTCTTGTCTTCAGGCTCTGATTAGCTACATTAGACTAAACCTATGCACAAATATTGAATTCAGGGTTGGTATTGGAACGGTTTTATGCAGGCTAGTGTAAGCTCAGCAAGCAGAAAGGTGAATCCAGTATCGTTTTCAATGTTTTATTTGTACTACTTCTCTCACACAAATGTTCTTATCAATCCAGAATACCATATTTTGTGGAGTATAAGACGCACCGGAGTATAAGATGCACCACGTTTTTGAAGAGGTATTTTTTTTTTTAAAAAAAAGTGTTTGCACTCTGCAGGCCTCTAAACCCTCTGCACGCCTCGTTTTTTGTGAAAAACGGGGCAGGCAGAGAGTTTGAGAGGCCTGCAAAGTGCTCCTGGGAGCTGGGGAAGGCAATAATGAGCAAAAAACAGCCAGTTTTTCGCAAGAATGGGCTCGGGTTTTTTTGCAAAAAACAGGGCATGCATAGCTTTGGGAGGCTTGTAGAGTGCTCCTGGGGGCTGGTGAGGGGGGAAATGAGCAAACAACAACCCGTTTTTTGCTCATTTTTGCCCTCCCCAGCCCCGAAGAGCACTTTGCAGGCCTCCCAAACCCTCTACACGTCCATTTTAGTGAAGGGGGTGGGGTATTGGGAGGCCAAAAATGCTGTATTCAGTGTATAAGATGCACCCAGATTTTTGCCCTCTTTTTTGGGGGAAAACAGTGAGTATTATACTCTGAAAAATATGGTAAATACCTTGGATACACACCTTAAATGGAATGATACTTTGGTAACACCCCAACTCTTTTCCTATTCTAAGCAGGCATCTTAGATAACATTCAATAGACCTAAATAGGAAAACATAAACATCCTATTATTCATCCCTCAAGCTATTAATCCTTTTTGAGTATTTGAGTTGTTAAAAGGACTGCCATATTTGAACAAATTTGTTGAAACCTTCATTAAGCATAAGAACACAAGGAAATCTGGATGGATCAGGCTGTAATCATACCGAGATAAATATTCTGTGTCATGCAATGGCCAACTTCTCTTCTATTGGTACCAACTATATATATTTGGGAAGCTTACGAGATTAGACTGGCAAGTGATGGCCCTTTTCAGTGCTGCTATCTTCCTGTCTACTCCTCTTTTAAAAAACAACTCAGTCTGAGGATCATTCTCTAAATTCAAAGGAAGCAAGAGGACAAGAGAAGCAGTAGAGATGCAACCACCTCTGACACAACATCTCTAGAAGGAGTGCGGAGAAAAGCAACAAAGAAGATTAGGGGACTGGAGGCTGAAACATATAAAGAATGGTTGCTGGAATTGGGTATGTCTAGTGTTAGGAATATAATTCTAACGGTTGGGTTGGCAATATATAACAATGTTGTAACTGTTTCTTTAACTCTTACTGTAAAATGTGATTGGTTGCTGTGTTCCTCAATCGGCCATAAGAGGGAGCCAGAACGTCTGTTAGCTCTCTCTCTGTTTGTTAGAAGCTGGGCTGATCTGGAAGTGCCGTGAGCTATTGTACGTTTTGCAATTGTTAGCAAACCTTGTGTACCGGACTGATTATTTGTTACTGTGAACCTATAATGAAATTCAAGTGTGACCTCCCCGCTTGCCCCCCCCGTGCATTTGCATGTGACCCCCACATGTGCCTACCCACACACGTGACCCCCCCTGCATGCATCTCAACGCCGCGCATGCACGGCAGAGACCCAAAAATTAACTGGCCAGCAGGAAGCGCTCACGAATGTGCAGTGAAGCTGAGCTGGACGACGGCTTGGATTCCTACAGAGAGGGCTCAGGGTGTCACCTGTGGCACACGTGTCATAGGTACACTATCACGGGTATAGTGTTTCCTGCCTGAGCAGTGGATTGGACTAGAAGACCTCCAAGGTCCCTTCCAATTCTGTTATTCTGTTCTGTTCTGTTCTGTTCTGTTCTCTCTCAGTTTGGTGGGAGAAAATGTTCTGTGCAATGGTAACATTCAGGATGCCAATTTCTGTGGCCTTCTTTGCAGCCTATAAAATTTCCTCTGCCTTAAGATAAATTCTCTGGGGAAGGAAAAAGAAGGAACAATACAGAAATACTGGGCTTGAATTGATCCTTCCAATAGGTTATCGACCTGAGGAACTGATAATTGTTAAACTTCCATAATTGATTTCCTAAAGCTCCAATAAGTTTTTCCATTCTTCATTAGCCCCTCTTCCACATATACAATGCAAGACCTAGTTCTAATTTGAGAATGCACAAACACCCACAAAAACAGATCAAAACTCAAATCTTAAAATTTTATCCTAATCGCTTAGCATTTTTATGAAAATGGAAGACATGAAAATGGTTTGTAAACTGGGGTTTGGAAGCAGAGAGCTTTAGAAATCAACAACTGTAATTTCTACTGGTCTACTAAAAATGACATCGCTATATTTTCCAATGGATTATACAGAAGTCTATAGGCAATGGAAGCATTTCATATCACTCACAAAAGAAGGAATAAACAATCATCTGGATTTACCTATTTTTTGGTTGAAAAATATGAAATAGATATAAAAAAACATGAAATTCTGTTAAGTCAAGAATATACAGTGTAGTAGCTAATGAAAAAGCTTATTTTACTTTGCTTGAATTATGGCATGTTCTGGCCATTAGCTGCTACATTAGCTTTTATCCCAAACAGAGAATTCAAAAAATGTGCCAGGAAATAATTAATCTTTCTTGCTTACTCATCATCTAATATATAGCAACACAATCGAGACACACCAGAGTTGAGAAGAATATATAATCGGATATGTACCTGCAGTATTTGATCTCCAGCAAGGAGCCTTCCATCTCTGGCAATGATCCCGTCACGATAAACCTCTTGAATAACAATGTTGATCAAAGGTGTTTCATTGCCACCCACTATGCTAATTCCCAATTCAATATAAGGATTGGACCGATGAATTTCAATGGTGGTGATCTCACCTTCCGGTAAACTTGATGGCTGATGGATTGCTGCCCAGTTGGGAAAGAAGTCAATGTGTAGATATAAATACATTTTTCACAACGCAATATGTTGTTAAACAAAAATAAAATAAATAACACAAAATAAAAAGACACCTGATATGTCGTAAGTCAAACAAATGAAAACCAAGCCCTGCATGACTGTTTGACCAAACTCAAGCTGATAAAAGGGTAAAGGTTCCCCTCATACGTATGTGCTAGTCGTTCCCAATTCTAGGGGGCAGTGCTCATCTCCGGCACTGTCCAAAGACGTCTCCGTGGTCATGTGGCCGGCATGACTAAACACCGAAGGAGCACGGAACGCTGTTACCTTCCTACCAAGGTGGTCCCTATTTTTCTACTTGCATTTTTACATGCTTTCGAACTGCTAGGTTGGCAGAAGTTGGGGCAAGTAAGTTGGAGCTCACTCCCTTATATGGCACTGGGGATTTGAACCGCCGAACTGCTGACCTTTCTGATCAACAAGCTCAGCGTTTAAGCCACTGAGCCACCGCTTCCCTCAAGTTGATAGTAGGTGGCTAGTGTGGGGGATGCCAGAATAGAGATGGGAAGGCCTGGAAAAAACTGGAGGGAAAAATGTGGAAAAAACTGTCCCATCCCCCAATTTTTCATTTTTTCCCACGTTTTCCCATCTCTACACCTAAAATATGACTTTTAATAAGGCTGCTAAAGCCCAAATCAGACCAGCAAGAGCTTCGTGGTCAGCCAGGGATTATCAGAGTGCCCTACAGCGGCTTGTGCTGAAGACCATGCATCTCCAATTATTTGTTTGTATGTATATCAAATTTATAAGGCTGCCCATCTCACAAAAAGGGACTCTGGGAAGCATTTAACAAAGCTATAAAAACAACAAACATATCAAAAAAAGAGAGTCATGATTACAACATTTTAAAAAGACATTAGGACACAGAAAGATTAAATGTTAACAGCAATAATGGAGCCACTTTGAAGAGTCCCCTGGGAATCCCAGGCCCAATAATGTAGCCAAATCTTGAGGGACTTTTGGAAATAAAAGGATGGAATTAAACTCACTTCTCAAGGGAGGGGAGAATGTTTCATAATGTTTTGTGGGATAATCATGATGGGGATTTTAGAAAACTGCTTCACAAAAAGATGTATGAGAAAGCCAAAGCAAAATTCATATTATTGGGCTTCAGACAAATTTAAATTTGAAATGGCTGCCCACTAAGTGATATCAGAGTGATATCAGTGATATCAGAACCGATCATACAAATCTATAAACAACACAATAGATAAAACTGATCTTGTACATATACAGCACGTCACTGGTGTAAATGCTTTTCGTTTTATAAAATATAGGTATAAATGCCAACATAGGCATGGAGCTAGCTCTCCAGAGCCTGATTCTGAGCAAATTCTACCTCCCAGTTTTGCAGATCAAAAGTTAATGCTGGGCAGTTGTCACAATCATTCAACCAACTGTAACAAGAAAGCTGAAGCGAAATAGGACTTTAAAAAGACAATACCTCCTGGTTATTTTTAACACAAAAATTTATTCTGTGTAGCTCTAATTAATTCTCAAGGTTTCTGTAAACAAATGTTTAAATAATACTGTTTAGTTGTGGTAATGTTCTATCTTGTTTATATTGATTGGAAGTTGCCTAGAGTCGCCTCTATGCGCATAGATGGGCAGCATATAAGTTACATATATACATACAGTGGTGGGATTCAGCCAGTTCACACCCATTCGGGAGAACCGGCTGTTAACTTTCTAAGCAGTTTGGAGAACCGGTTGTTGGAAGAAATCTCATTTTGTTTTTTTCCACTTTACGGGGCTAATCCTGTAAGGAAGGCAAGAAGGAAACATTCTGGTGT